GTTTCTCCACAGCCCTGTCTCCCCCCAGATGAACTGTGTCCGCCTGCCAGCTGTGCAGTGGAGTAGCAGGGCAGTGAGGGCTTGGCTGCTTGATAGCATGACTGCCTACAAACCTCAGGAGAAACGATTAGGACAAGGGCATGAATTTTTTTTTGTGGGGAAGGAGGTGTAAAGGTTGTGACATGTGAGGGGGCTGACCTGGAGGCCCACGGGGTGGGCAGAGATTGAGGGAGGAAAGGGGAGCTGGAGATGGGGGGTGGTGGTGGTGGCCGGGCTTGGCGGCTGGAGGGAGTGGGACTGCTTCATTGAGCGCATTGTGCAAAGCGCAGGCAAGCCTCTCTCCTCTGATGGGCAGTGTCTTTGTGAATCGCCGTCAAAGCAGATGAAATTTCACACCACGCAAATTTTTGAATGTAAAAGGGGAGGGAGGTGGGTAGAGAAGCAGGACAGGAGGAGGGGGAGGGAGAAGATGCAGCCTGGCTGGGTGCCAGAGCCTCTTGCTAATGCCATGGGGAAGGTGGCATCCTTCCCCGGTGTTCCCTCCGGCCCCCGTGCTCCCTGCTCCCTTTCACTTTGATCGCATCTCCTGGAGGAAGCGCGCTCTGTCTAGAGCTGTTTACAGGGTGATGGTTTGTTCTCTGTCTCCTCATCTCCTTTCTTACAGAGTGAGTAGCCACTCCTCCTCTGCTTTCTGTCTTTTAACCTCTCGTTCTTCTCCAGCTCTCCTTCCCCAGGCTGCTTTACCCCTTGCTTCCTCTGATCCCTCTCCTCTGTTCCCTTACCGCAGTGGCCTCCTGTCCTGCACTATTTGCTCTCCTGTCTCTCATCTGCACTCCTGCCTCCCCCATCAGTGCTCATGCCGTCATCAGTCTTTGATCCTCTCCTCATTTTTCCACCTCTTTCCTTCCACCTTTATTGCCTCTTAACCCTGTTGAGACACCCAGGAGCTCCTTAGTGTCAATCCCCCCATCTATCTCTCCACCCAGTCCTCCCCATGCTGTCTTCTATGTGCCAAGGAAACACATCTCTTCACACAACAGCTCAGAGCACATCAAAGTCGTTTATACCCATCAAAGCATGGCCATCTGGACCACAGATGGCATGTGCTGTGACCCCACAAGGTTGCTGGGGTGCCTGAGTTTTGCTCCTGTTCCCCTTTGGCTGCGAGAGGTGAGTGGAGCCTCTCATCCCTTTATGAGTCCCACCGCCCATAGTACACAGCCACCAAAGGAGCTAGAGAAATCTCTCGTTGGCCTCTCTAGGATCAAGTGGATGTTGAGTCAGTCACAGAGGCCACAGGTGGACATTTCACCAACCATGGCAGGTGCTGTATAAAGCAATGACAAGGTTGTGATGCTGTGGGTCACCCGTGGACTTCAAGCAGGGTATGGCTGTTGTGGTTTAACCCTAGCCAGCAACTAAGCACCACACAGCTGCTCGCTCATTTCCCCCCAGTGGGATGGGGGAGAGAATCAGAAAAAATGTAAAACTCGTGGGTTGAGATAAAGACAATTTAATAGGACAGAAAAGGAAGAAAATAACACTAGTAATGGTAAAAGAATATACAAAACAAGTGATGTACAATGTAATTGCTCACCACCTGCTGACCGATGCCCAGCCAGTTCCTGAGCAGCGTCTGTGCCCCCTGGCCAACTCCCCCCAGTTGGTTTTTTTCCAGCATGATGTCATATGGTATGGAATATCCCTTTGGCCAGTTTGGGTCAGCTGTCCTGGCTGTGCCCCCTCCCAGCTTCTTGTGCACCTCCAGCCGCCTCGCTGGCAGGGGAGTATGAGAAGCTGAAAAGTCCTTGACTAGTGTAAGCACTGCTCAGCAACAACTAAACCATCAGTGTGCTATCAACATTATTCTCATCCTAAATCCAAAACACAGCACTATACCAGCTACTAGGAAGAAAATTAACTCCATCCCAGGCAAAACCAGGACAATGGCAAAGGGTGTCCAGGATGCTTTTTGAGATCTGAAGTCTAAAGAATTAAACAGCCCCTTCCTTTCTGGGATACCACTTGCTTTATCCCAAGTAGGGCTGGTTTATTAGATTTTAGGAAGCCCAGAGGCAGGACCTGAGCTGAACCTGGTGCCCCAGGCCAGCTACCCCTCACATCTTGTCATGGTGCAGGAGCCCCACATGCAGGTGGTCCTGTGGTGCTGGTGTCCCTGGGCTTGCTGGGTGCACCTCACTGTGAGTACGGCACCACAACTGAAATGCTCCAGACGAGCAAGTGGTTACAGCCCAGGATAGCCATGTGTGGCTGTGCTACCTCTGCTCTGAAAGCAGAACAAAACCTTTACCCTACATGGTCCAAATTCTCACCTGCCTGAGCAGCGTTACATGGGCAGATCACCAGGAGATTGGGACCTGCAGCCAACTGGGGTATCTGGAGGTTGCTGAACTATACAGTGTGGATACTGTATAATCCCTTTAATCAGAAGGAAAGAGAAATTATCTGACTTTTGAGGACAGATACCCTCTTAATCTTGTTTTTCTCCTTTCTGTCCTACCTGCCCTGAGGTGCTCTTCTTTTTGAATCAACAGGGCTAAATTCTGCCCTGATGTAAATCTCTGCTGATATAAATTGGTGCGATCTTGCAAAAAACATTGGAGTGGCTCTGGATTTATTCCGGCTGTTAGTGTGAGCAGGATTTGGCACATGGAGTGTGGTAGCCATAGCTCACTGTGTCGTGCTCTGCATTTCCAACCAGCACTGCAGGTGATAAGCAAATCCTGTTGAGAAGTGAGAGGGTCCCTCTCAAACCAGAAAAGGCTTCCCCTGGATGTCCTTTGTGTGACCAAGTTAGCCAGCCAGGCTGCAATTTTGGGATGGACACTGTGGAAAGGTTTTAGCCCCCAGGGTCCCACAAATGGAGTGGAAAATTTTCATTTAATACATTTTTGTATCTCACACTTTAGGGAAAACAGGAGAATGCATTTGTAACTGCTATTTCCCACGGGTGCAGTATAATATATACAGTATATGCCGTGTGCGGCATAGGGGGATGAGTCATACCCGTTCGTGACTCTTTGGTCTCAGTGCCTGGCCAGGATGGACTCTGCACCTGCCACTTTGGGCTTTCCTGGCAAGGTGTAGCTCCCCCTGGGCGTGCTTCGGATCTGCTCCTCCACAGTGGTCTCCTGTGCCCAGCTACCCTGGTCCAGAAGGATTAGGGTGGGAGAGGCATTGAGTTTCCAGCAGCCCTCCTAGAGATGCCAAACTGGGAGGCTGTAAAAGCAATACATGCAATCCCAAAGCCATGGTGATAATTTTTAAGTGGCGCCTGTCCTGTTATCCTTCTTCCCCTCTGAGCTTTCTCCTCCATCCCAACCGCATTACAGATAAAAGGGTTAAGAGCTCACTTGGGCCCCCTGCTCAGAGAGAGGGCAGTTGCAATGTTGTATCTAGACCCAGTGAGGATATATATAAATTCCCTCTGTCTCTTCGGAGCTATTTATAGCACGGCAGGCAGTGGCAAAGGCTCTCCTCAAGGCTTCATCTCCTACAAACAGTCTTCACAGACAGCAGAGAGATAAATTTAGCACACGAGATTTCTTAA